GGGGGGGGGGGGAACGGAAAGGAGGCGAGCGAAAGCATAGAAAGGAGAGGGCGAGGTTACTCAAACGAGCGGTTGTATTAAGTGCGCCTATAGATTACGACGCCGGAAAAAGTAGAGGCGCATCGCGCTAAAACGCTTCGGAAAAAAAATTACCCTATGGACCCCCATACGTCATCCACACAGGCTCTCTCTCTCTCTCTACGGCGCGCGCACACCCCCGACGTGCCTGTGAGGGTGTCACATTTCTGGCCGAGATGCCGTTTTTCACAGAGGGAACTTCGTCGGCGCCTCTTTCGATCCGACGACAGGCATCCTTCTTCTAACTCGATTCGTCCTCGATCATCGCGAAATATCCGAATAGGAAAGGAGAGAAAGGGAGAGGAGGAAGAAAGAAGTATAACAGGCGACTTATATTCGCGTACTTTCAAGCGACGGTAGAGAATAAAGAATACACTTGTGGATAACAGCGAGGAAACGTCGAATTATTAGCGATATCTTATCGACGGTCTTTGATTTTTAAATTACTCACCTAGATGAGACTCTCTCTCTCTCTCTCTGTTGCCGCTCACGTGGCTTACCTGCTTTTCATCCTTTTCGAATCAATATTACAGCTACATAGAAAAAGAATTAGTATTAATTCAAGACTTATATTCTCATATATAAGCAAAAATTTTATATGAAGATGAAACTTGCTTATATAAAAAAATTCTAAATAGCTTTACTAAAAATGTTATAATTTTATTATCCGAATAATATATTATAAGAATAATTTTCATTAATTGAAAAGAAAAAATATTAGACAAACAGAACGATATCTTCACTCATATAATTTTTAGATGTCGTTCTTTCCATCTAATATTTTTTCTTCATGAAAAAATGATTTTTGAATAATTAAAATATGATTTTTTGCGGATTCTTGCACAATAAAATTAGTGCATTCTTGCTTATACATGAGAATATGAATTTGAATTGATAAAAATTTTTTCCGTATATGACTCTCTTTTCACTTCGCATTTCACGTGGTACAGCATTTTTCCTTCGTCATGTCGTTCTTACGTTAGACAAGAAATTCCACACATAAGGGACAGTCGTATATATCGCAAAGTGTTACCTTTATTATATAATACGGATGGTATGTTACATATGTGTAATATATTAGCCTACTCCTTCGCGTATATGTACACATACATACGCCAAGCGTATGCGCGTGTTGCGTGACAAAAAAAATTCGGACGCGCATCGAATGCACACGCATGACACTTAACACGTTCGCAATAAAAACCTTAAAATTGCCTCCTCATCCTCACGATGAAAAAATCGCCTATATTTTCCGGGTCGTTTTAACGTTACTTAACGCGGTCGACGCAGATTCGCCCGGTCTTCGCACAAAGCGTCAAATTGGGACGCGGTGACAAGAAAATGAACGATTCGTCGTATTCATGGATTTTCCCAAAATGAAATCGTTGAATTTATCAACGAGAACGTTCACCGCGTCACTCGCCCGCCCTGTTTGATCTCAGGCAAATTTGTGAACAGATCATGAACTTAATGTCGGAGTCAGAACGATCGATACCTGGGAGACCTGTCGCTTTTATTCGCCTCGACGTTTATTACGACACCTGATGTGTAACAGCGAAGGAAACGGTTCCGTGTAACGCAACAAGTGGAAAATACAGAGCAGAAAATTATTAAAAGCTCAGCTGATGTATGTGTATTTACGGTAAAAATGATTTTTTTGCGACAGTTAAAACGACGATCCTGCCGGAAAGTCTTTCGATTTCCGAGACGATGAGTAAAAATGTTAGACGGATGTCTCTCGGTGTTCATCGTTCCGGCATTAACGAGTCACAAGAATCGATATTATTTTTCCGGAACGCATTATCCCTAAATAATCGCTATGAGTGTCGCGACGCTCGCAGGAATCCTTGCAAATGACGCAGTGGAGATACATAAGTACGTCTCGTAATCGAATTAACGGAGCTGCGTCGCGGAGTCACGTCTCTCTTTCTCTCGCAAACGTCACTATAAAGTCTAATCGTATGCGCGTTCGTAAGAGCTACCGTAGAAAAATACTGCTTCTTTCTTTTCCTCTTCCTCTCCGTAATGCGAATCACGCCCGCGAATATCCTCAGCATCCGACGAAAGCGACGCTAATGATCTAGCTCACTAAACATTGCGATTTAATTGGACTATCAATCGTCGTGCGGGGGATGTCGGTCGACTTGCGCGAAAGTTCTCATCCCAATGAGAATTCTCCTCGATTCGTTTGAATAGCGAAAATTTCGGCGAGAACTGACCGACGTGTTATGTCATAAATTAATCATTAATATATATATATATATATGTTATATATATTACTTAAGGTCGAACGTATGTGAGACATTTATGATTCTCATTCTCATTCGACTTGCGATTATCATTAAGGGGCTACACACCGAGCGATTTGAAAAACTACTAATGTTTATGGTTTTCTGCTGGTCATATCATTGAAACTTTATGAAGATATCCTTTTGAGGGGTGCTTTCATGATGCTCATCATCGCTAATCAGTATTAAATATCTCGAAAACTATTGAACTAATTTGGCTTTGTAATTTTGCAGAAGTACTTTTAATAAGATTACTTAGTCTTCGTTGTGCGATTTTTTTTATATCTATTATAGTTTTTTTCTTCCATAAATAAAAAGAAGAGAAATTTTGTGGCGAAAAATGGAACTTGTGACTTCGCGTGAATGTTACTTTATTAAAAATTAATATTTTAAAAATCGGTTACAATAAAGACTAGATAATTTCACTAAGAATGTTCATGCAAAACTACTAAAGTAGCTAAATTAATCTAGTAGTTACCGAGATATTTTAGATTCCGATTAGTGATGACGAGCTTCATGAAAGCAGCAAAAACAGCGATACGTATCAACTTTCCGTAATAAGCTTCGTACAGTATATAAATAAAGTATAAAGCATTAAAAAAACCACCCTTCCAAAGGACATCTTCGTAAAGTCAATAATGTGATTAGCAGAGAAATTCAAATATCGGACGTTTCTTCGAGCCACTCGAGTGTAATTCCTTAATGTCAAATGTCTCTTGAATATATCGCGTGTACGCGTCTAAATATTCTGTGTGTGTGTTTTTATATTTATATATCTATAATATAGTACTTAATATCAATTGCATTGGCAGGACATTGCACGAATGCGTATGTTGCAGCTACGGAAACTCGTACGCGCGTAACGTCAACTCGTAAGATCAATTCTGCGTAATGAACGCGCGATGGTGGTGCAAATTCGATCCGTGAGAAACTTTTCGAGAGGACCTCGTTATTTCGCGTACGGTTTAGGTGGCGAACACACGCATCAAGATCTTCCTACTGCTATCGGGCCTCACCACGCGACGATTACTATATCAAGAAGGCCCAATTGAAGACACATCCTTTGCACGATAGATTGGCACGCGTGGGAAAGAAATGGGCGGTCGTAAAAAATACAATACGAAATACGCAATGAAGATTGCGAGAGATTACTATTAATCTACAGCTCCACTAACGTTAAAAGGACTAGATTCAAGGACATCCCGCGCGGTTTCTTCACATTCATCGTATCACTTACACATCGAATTACCGACAGGTTATTTCGCATTCTCTTCTTTCTCGAGACGTTTTCTTCTACATACGGAAGAAACAAATGAGAGACGCTCGAATGTAACCAAAGTTCATTCGTCTCACTCTTATGTACGCACGTTTTACGGATATCCAGACATCGCGAAGCAAAGCGTGGATTCTCTATCGAGTTGGTGTTTTGAAATTCCTTTACTACGATTTCAACCCTGGGATGCTTGACGCTTTTCGCGATGTTCTGCTTTCGATTAACTTCTCGCCGCTTCTTTAAGACTCAGACTCGTGTCAGAAAGACCGCAATATTTTTTTCTTTTTCATCGAGTCTCGGGAACACATCCGTGCCTAATCGAATTTATTCTGTGATTCTCGGAAGATAAATCTTTCCACCGAATACCGGGCGCGTTCTGAAGTTCATCGAAGTAGGAATGTTCGTCTTCCTTCCGCTGGCTACATTTTTTTTTATAGTGCACAGATTAAATCTCTTACGATCGATTTTCCTTTATACGTTGTGTTTTTTTCACCTGCGATATCACGTATCCCAGAGTTGAAAATATCCGCGCCCATCGTTCTCTCACGCCGGGCCGTTCGAAGAGGAGCGAGTCTCGCATACGTGTCGCTTGTTTGCCAGAGAGAAGCCCGTAAAAATACATCATACGGGATAACTCACGGACTGCCACGCGATAACTTCGGTTGAGCACCTACTCAGTTTGAACCGAAGTGCCAGCGTTGATCGCCGTGATGTTTATTGTCGTCATTCGTTCACCGAAAGCGACAGGCAATTTCGATCGTAAGTCGCTACCGATGCGCGCGAATAAATTATGCGGCGCGCGGTTACGTTCAACGAAGCGTGACGTGAGTTTACTCACCAAGCGATTAATCGAAAGTGCGCGATCTCGCCGTGTACGATCCGCGAATCGTCGCGCGACACGCACGAAAAGTTGCAGAAGCTGAGAAAAAAATTAATGAGATAAAATTACAGATCGTTCGGTTTTGAAACTGACGAGCGGTCCATGTTTTGCGCGTCTGCGAAGCGGAATATCGCGCGCATGCGTATTATCACGGCCGCAAATAGGCGAGCGAAATGGTTCGGGAAGCGCCGATCTAAATTAACATACGTACTTTGTTCGCTTTACTTAGGAGTTAATTTAACTCGGCTTGCAAATCGAGTTTTATTTCTGGGTACGGTGGAACACGCGCGGTCGAACGTGTCGTGTTCGCTTGACACGAGGGAATTATCATCGTTTGGTGTGACGCAATCTCTGATCGCGAAATAATGAGATACGAGGCACTGCGAAGTGAATCCGATGCAGGTTCCTTTAATTCGTTTTTCTACGCTTTTCCGGGCGGTAACGCGTACGGAACGGCTCGCCGGCTGGCCTTAATGATCCATCGACGACGATGATTCCGATATGCGTGCAGATTGCGATACTTAACGAGCTCCAAGCGAGCGGAATTAAACTAATCGAGCGAAATCGGTGAAACGTACGAGACGGCAGGCAGACTAGGCGTTATCCTTCAGCAAACGCACCAAAGGATTTACTTTACCTTCTTCCGAATTTTTGTACTGCTCCAGCAACTGCACAATTTGCAAATTTATTCAATAATTTTATCGATCGTAGAATACGTGTTAGTGAAAAAAAATGAATTGCATCAATTCACGAATTGAATCGCTGCGTCGATTACGACGCAATCAACACGATAGCAGAATTATTATTGAATAAGGAAAACTCCCAAGAGCCGGAAAGCTAAGACTTGAAATATGACAGATACAGCATAAGAGATTAATTGAACTACGTGATATATAATTATTTATATACATAAAAATCAGCTTTTAATCAAACAAGAAGTATGCTTGGGTTCGTTATATAGTTTTTGGATTAAACCAAAGGAAAACTTACGGTAGAGGAAATGAAAATATTAAAAAACGGCGTCATTAATTCAACGTTACCAGATCATATTCGTATCCACTTACCTCGTACGATAATTCGCAAGACAATATCGCCATTGCTTCGGGATTCTGATGCGTGGCGGCTAAAAGCACCGGCGATGTGTAGGGTATCAATTTGGGGTCTCCGTAAAAAGGAAACGGTAGAGTGCACAACTGCTGTAGAACGCTAGGACCCGCGCCTGCCGATTGGAGGACCACCTGAAGCAGATTTCAGACGATGCACCTCGATGTATTATTCTTTTGCGTGTAATTTCTTTTCGTTTTTACTCCGCGCAATTCTTACAGTAACTCTAGAAAATCCCCACCGATGCGACGATAGGCAAGAAGGGTGATTGAAAATTACCAAGGATTTATTGACACGATAAAAACGATAATTAGTTTTAAGTTAGTGACTTTCTCTAGTTCTATTCACTAGATATAAAAATAATAATATTCTGTTAGACCTATAAATTTTAACCAAATGGTAAAATACACGGAGAAAAGATTTCTCTGGATTTAATAAAATTTCTTTTATTGAAACAAGCACTGGGAAAATACAAAAATAGACTGGATGAGTACCCAAACAAACTAGCCAAGGACCTCATGAAACAAAAAATCTCCAAGCGGAGACTAAAACGCAAAATCAAAAAATATGTTAGAAAAATATTAAAGAGCTTCTTTTTGTTCCAGTGGAATATTTAATATATAATGAAATAATTTTTTTCTTTTTTTTTTCTTTTTTATTGAAAACGAAATATTATTTCCTCTAAATAATACTGTTTTTCTATCAAACAACATGATTTATTCTAATAAAACAATAACATTTTTATTCAAATAAAATGATATTTGATATTAAATTATGTTGTTTATGTTATTATTTATATTAAACAAATACAAGTCATACGAATATGCATATTAAATCCGAAGAAACCTTTTTCTCTGTATAGTTACATACATTAAATATAAGTGCGCGTTAATTCGTAAATATTACAATTTTCTCTCCTTATGAATCTCAAGAATCTCACTCTGCACTCGCGAAACCGGGGTTTTTACGTTTTCCGCGCGTGTTCAAAGAAACCTCTGATCGAGATAAGGCCGGTGGGCCGGACGAAGATTCCCTCGTAATCACAAATTACCCGCATGATGCTCACGAGTCCCTCGATTGTTATGTACGGCCAAGACGGTTAATTAAGACGGCCGGGTAAGTTTTCTTAAAAGAGCGTGAGAACTTGGACACGGCCCAGGTGTCACGGAAGCGAGAGAGTCTTCGACGCGAAGAGACGTCACCGGACATCTGCGTCTAGCGCGACAAGTGCCACCGTGAACAGGACGTTGTACTCCTCGAACACACCTGCAGAAAACTCTCGCAGGAAATGCCCACATTACGCATTCTCGTTTCCCCGCAGCCCGTATCGCGTCCGTGTGTCCTGTCGAAGATCGCCCCGTCCGTTGTGGTCGCCGTAACCGCGCGGCAATGCAATTCGGTAGCACACATAACTCGATGACGATTGATTCGCGACGCCCGGTGAGAGAGCGCGCTTTTATATCGCGGAAACTGCGGGAAGGTAGTCCTATCGATCCGCACGGCGAGTCGCTCGACACGTTTCGAGTTATGACGCGAGGCAGCTTCCCAATCTTTGGCCCGAACGTACGCGGGTAACTCGGCGGATATTCAGGGAAACGAGAGCGACGAAAATGAGGGAGGAAAGCTCGTTGAATTTCACGAGCAACGTTCGCGCACTTCGACCTCTCGCGACGGTGTCGATCGGACACGGCGAAGATGAGCCTGTCGCAATTAGCGGGCGTGTAGGTGCCACGCGGCCGGTGCCGGGAGGATAAACGCCGGGTTGAAAATAAATAAGAGGAGAACGGTTAACATGTCACGCACGTTGGCGCCACCGCAAAAGAAGGGAAAAAGAAAGCCACTCCTCGAATTCGGTTACGAGCATAGACGTGTTTATGATCGCGGGCGCAGAAGGTAGCCGTCGTAGCCGGCGCGATAACCTTGGCTGCCGCAGATGCTCGTAGAAGCTTAAAAGCGTCTCGTCGTTTCACCCTCTCTTTCTCCCTCTCTTCGGGAGACGATTTTCCCGAGGCAGCTACTCTTCTCGGAGGGTCGACTCGTTCTTGAAGGGGGAGGAGAGCGGCTCCTTAAAAAAGCGCTGAAAGACGAATGCGCGACGTCGGCGGTGCACTCAGCGTTACATCCCGATTCACGCGTCCGCGAGATCGACGCGTCCGCAGGACCGGTCTTAGCTTCGCACCCCGAACACTTTTGTCGCACGAAAGAGGTACGTTGATCGAATTATTCTTATCAACGCCGGAGCAACAAAATTCGATCGAAGAGCGGAGCACAGAAATCTCCGTTTTCCGGGGAATTTTAATTAGCCAATTCAAGGTTATAATTCGTTTCACGAATACGTTTAATTAAAGTCTGCTTATTTCCTGTATTAAGAGAAAAAAATATCTAAATATAGCAAATATTTATTCGTGGCTATTAATAAACATTATTTACTCAAATCTAAATTGTTTAATTTCAATAAGATAAATAATTGCTTTCAGGAAAAGCTATAGATTTAAGAAATTGAATATTTCCTCATTTGGAAGAAAATTTTTTTCTCTCATGCAGTACAAAATTTAGATTTAATTTAATGGAATATGTTAAAAAATACATTTTAGTGGGCCATCTGTAACATAACATTTTTTACTGTACCGTGTCAAAATATATATATATTGATATAAGTAAATGTGTTATTAGTACCTCGAATCTATAAATATATTTTTTTAATTTTTAAATATTTTTCCTCTCAGTAAAGAATTCTTTGATTAGTGATTAGAATTACTTTCATCGAAGACCCACAGGTATAACGTAGGAATTAGATATGTTGAACAAATAACGTAATAAAAAATTATATATTAATCGAGTGACTTTATCTGCAGTGAAAAAAAGAAACGTTCCACAAATGAGACACTGGCCGTTAATTAACTGTCGCCTCTCGTTGCGATTTGACTGTCTTATTTTTTCCAAAGTATCAAGCCGCATTTTGTCACAGAAGTACCGATTAAAACGCAAGCATATTGATTGTCACAAGCGATAGTTTTACAGTTGCGGTAAAAGTTGAATATCCCCGAGTGTCTATTACTTATCTCGCCACGCCGGATATTGTTATTTCCACGAGTGTTCGTTTCGATCGCGCTATGCGCTTCATTTCTCGATTCATCTCTGGAGATTACTTCCGATATCGTCCGCGCCGTGATCCCCTCTAGTGTTTTTCCATCTCTCTCTCTCGCGCGTGCGCGCGTTACTTAATTATTTATTCGAATTTTCCGCGCGGCCCCGCGAACCGATGGACCGGCACTGCACGGAAGAGTGCGTATGCGCACATGTGCACGCGTGCACGCGTCGTGAGACGTATGGAACGGAACGCCGTAAATATATCTTAACGGCGTTCGGCCGTATATTGATGGGAGGTCCGCTGAGTGTGTTGTGTCTAACAGCTTCTTCCTTCTTCTCGCCGGTAACGCGCTGTACGCGCCATCCACCACATTCGTTTCACCGGACGGTATTTCAGCGAACGTACCGGGTGACTCGAGGTTACCTCGGCCGAGGGAAAATTACTACTCGGAGATCTTAAGATGCTAGCCGGTCGCTACCGAAGCGAGGGAGTATCCTCGAGACAAAATAATATGTAACCGAGGAAGAAAGTTCGGAACACTGTTAAGATCTCCAAGGAGGTGGTCGAAGCTTTCGAAGTCCGTAAAAAGAATTAACATCGGAGATCTTAAAATTGGAAAGGTGTCCCCATTTTTTTGTTTCAATGTCCGTAGGAGCGGTAACAAATTTTAAAGAAAAATATTGAAAAATATTTGGGAAATATATTTGTGTTTCCTTTTCTAGCAAACGTTGTTTCCAAGGGAACGACTGAATTTTTTAAATTTACAAGTAACTTTGATATATTCGGATATTGAGGAATCTTTACGAATCCCGAGGTCGCATCGGACAGTCCGCAGCGTGCAAACATTACCTGATTATCCGGATTGTTAACGGCGAAGTAGCCGAGCACCATGAACAATTCCGAGAGGATGTAAGTGCTGCTCGTAATCTGCATCGATCCCACTTCCGGCTTGTCGCGGGACAGTCGGGTTATCAGATGACTCGCTATGAACCGCCACTGCAAGTTTGTGCCTTCGACACCCAGAAAGTTCTGTAAACAAAATATTTTGTGCAAAAGACTCACGTGTCTGACATCGTCCCTTATACTGCGTTTCCCTATAGCATCTAGCCGTCGAGATTCGTTGAAAGAATAAAATACGCAGCAAACGCATCACCATAAAGGGCGATGACGAAGTTCAATGACGAACGATAAGACGACGCGTCGCCAAAATTTTACTTATCAAACCCAACGCCAAATAAGTTCTCAACAAAGCGAGATCAATCAGCCAAACTTTTCTCCGTACGCGAAAGCGAGCCGGGAGCTGTTGATGATGATGCAGTTTAGACGGTGTCTACAATGAGAATTTCAGACGTAAGACTTGAGCTTTAAGCCGTAAGAGATTGACCAATCAAAGTCAAATACGAGAAGAATAATCGATTGTGATTGGTCAATTTCTTACGCCTTCAATTCGCATCGTGGATGCCGCTTTACACGCAAATCTGACACAGAGTAATAACTTATCGGCGCTTGATGCATATCGATATAATTCTCTCTCTCTCTCTCTCTCTTCTTGATCTTAAATTACCAATTCCCCCTCAAGATCGGGAGTCCGTTGAAATCTAAGACGGGCTTTATCTGGATCACAGCGACGGAGTGGCTGCGAAGCTGCCAGCCGGCCGGGTCGGCTTTGTCATCGCGAAACCGCATCGTCGGGAGCGGCCAAAGAGAATGGATAATAACCGTTGATTTTTCGGCAAATGTGCACACCGGGGCTCGTCTGGGCCGCAGGATAATCGACGGTAGCTCCCGCGGGAGTTTCACCCTCCCGCGGGGCGCGGGATGGCCCGGGTGGTTTTGGCGAAGGGGGCGCGAGACACCGATTCAATTCGCGGTCGGCGAGGACTTCACGGGAGGCCTTTCGCGTCTTGACAGGCGGACCCCCGCGATACATGATATCTCCATCACACTCGACGCCCTGCGATAAGCCGCATTGTTGCCGGCAACAAGCGGCATCGTTGTCATTCGGAGAGGTGGCGCCCGGGGGAGCACTCGGTAACGCCGAATCGAAGACCGTCGCGAATTAAAGAGTAATGGAGCTCGCAGCAGTGTCTAATGGACGCGAATCTGCCCGCAGCGGGTTCCTTCTTTTCAGCTGAACCGCCTGCATCGGTACAAGAAATGTACGCTAAAGCGCTCCTTTTGACGGAAATAGCGTCACGTTTGCTATTCTTTCCAGCAGTGCACTCGGCGCGACGGTTCGCCGAACTGGCTGTTCTATACTGAAAAAAAGATTCGGTGATAAGCACTAAAATTTGGCGAATATTTGCCGGGCAAATATTTCTGCAACCAAATCATTTAGTTCCGTATACAGTACTGTGCGTGATATATTGTAGATTTGATATATGAAACGAAATTATTCGGTTGCAGTAATCAAATATTTTGCAGGCAAATATTCGTTAAATTTTAATATTTATTACTAAATATTGTTTTCAGTGTAGGGCCGTCGCATTCATAGTCGGGTCTTATATTTAATGTTTTATGTTAGACTTAAGATGGCTTATTTCATTGGCTACAAAGCAGAAGATGAATTTGAGACGATCTCGAATATAAGATCCGACTATAAATACCGCCCTATATCTCGAATTAATACAACAATGCAGTTCAACATAACAGCTATGAACTTGGAATGAACTTTTTACTTGAACTAAGTTACACTTTTTAGTCCATCGAAATAAAATGTAAACTAGCGTTGAAGAAAAAGGGATGAAATTATAGTCTAAAGCAGTGACATTAAACAATAGTGTAATATAAATAAAAATATAATATCTGTAATATATAATACTTCTATTTATATTACATTAATAAGTGTTCAATGTCATTGTTTTAAGTTATATATTTGTTTATTTATATTTCTACAGCATATGTTGGTCATTGCGTGAAGTTATCGCGTTCTTTTATCTTCTTCTGCATTCTTGTATTGTGGGAAAATTTTTACTGTATTTGCCTGTCCTAACTCCATTCCAATGTAGTCCGAGTGCAGACAAAAAGAACAAACCATCTCGCACACACATATACATATGGTCGCATATCGACGACAGTGTGATCTCATTGATATTAACGCATTGAATGCCGTGACGGTAACCGATATTGCGATGCTACCGCGTCTCACTAAGTTGTGGGCCTCTTCAAATGTCTTCAAGTGAAATTTTCCGCACTAGAGAAGAATCCTTAACAGCAGAGCTTATCGAATTCGAGCGACTCTTCATTCATACACGGTGGCTTCTCCGTTCTGAATCGTCGAGTGAATATTTTCATTCGAAATTGAAGAGTAAATTTAACGCATTCCATCGGGAATAAATGTATTCCAACCGAGTGAAATATTTACTCGTATGAATTAAGAATCCATTTTAAGTTTGAGCGAAACATTCATTCTTATGAATCCGAATGATGGTATTTGTCACTATCGTTTCAAGTGAACTTTCATTCATTTCGGCTGGGATTTCACTTTAAAAATTTGAGTAAGTATAAAATATAATTAATTGCATTTAAAAAATCGGTTGTAGAAAGTCAAAGTTGATGTATAGGTTATAATAAACTATTAATACGTGCTTTAGTGTTTGAAAATAAATTCGCCGTAATGGAATTGCGCAGATTCCTTTGTTTCCCAAATATACCGTCACTTTTGATTACGTATTCTCATTCTCAGACGATTCAAACGGTTAACGATTATCCTATGCAGATCAGTACGTTGGAGATGATCGTTTGCTGCTAGTACGTATGACTCAACCGTATCGGCTATTCGATTTCGCGCGACAGATTCGAACGGCTGAGAAAATTAAATTTTTATCCGCTCCGTGCCGGCGTGTCGCAGGCCCTGGAAAATTGATACATCAAATTGTCCATTCCCACACAAGCCGGAAACTTAGCACACTGCTAGTAATTTTCGATTTTTCACGCTCATGTTCGCGTCATGCGACAATTCGTTCGGGGGAATCTTCCGATAAATTAAACCGGAAGAAATATTGTCGAAGTTAATTTTATTGTTTAAATCAACAGAAATTCAGTTGATCGAAGTCTATGTGTTTAATGTATTAATTTATCAGCATCCTAATTTTTGGAAGCACGAAGTTATTGTTTCTAAGATTATAGCAAAGACACTCTCGATTCTTATATTTTGCTTTAAAAATCTACTTTTAAAAGGGCATTTATAGAAATATGTAATTACATTGCTCGATTGTGATTATAAAAGGAGACTGACTGTTTGAATTAATAAGCCGTGCGTAAGTTATGAGGCTGGGCATGGACCGAGGTCTATATTTCCACCAATTTCCATCAAATATAACTATCCGGCGTCCGTTTCACATTTATACCGAAATGGAATCATCACGTTAGACGAATGATATTAAACAGTCACATTTAGCACGATGTGTCTGGGGAGGAGTGCGGGACAAAATTAGAGCGGAATGATAAAATTGCGTCGGCTAAACCGCGCGACGCTGTGTTACGCTCACGAATCATAAAAATATTAATCAAGCAGTTTTGATTCTGCGAGAACGTCTGAAAACTGGTCGTACACAGGACGAGACAATAACTACCGAATATCTTCGAGAGTAAGAGATACATTTATCCAACAGAAATTCTATCGACACCAATAATGATCGTCGCTTCTCGAACATGTAAATGTCCTCTGCAAATGTAAACTTGTTTTCACCTGACCGCCAATGAAATATTTTTACTTCTTAAAAATATTCAAAGGTGACGATAGTTAGTCTCACATCGAGTCTACTTAGTTCTACATTAAATTTTCAAGAGGAAAATACGGAAATACTTCCCATTTGTAGCGAAGGAGCACAATAGAAGATCTAATAAAGATTTAAAATAGAACTAAAATTCTCAATAAAGTAAGAACTAGTATAAAATAAGAACTAAGATTCTAAATAAAAAAAAATTCTAACTAAGTAAAGATTGAAAATGAAACTAAAATTGCGACTCGGATATTCCATCCACATCCGGTGTGTCTCGGTAGAGAAAATAAGAAGCTTACTTGTAGCGTCCGAAGATCGAGTTCCGCGATCGACTTGAGGAGCTTGAGACCGCGAGCGGCCAGGGTGCGCACGGCGGTGGAGAAGGTCTGGTTGGGCGTCGGCGAGGCCCCCTTCTGATTCTGCGGCGTCAACGCGACCGCCGTATAAAGTGCGCCGATCGCACCTGAGGCCTCGGTCGCCGACAAGGTCGACAACAAATGTGCCTCGGAGCTTGTTTGCTCCACGTTGCCGCCCTCGCCGTGTACGCTGACGTTATCTTGATCGACGGACCTCTTCAGATGACCGCAGATACGTGCGAGAAGATCGAAAGATGATACGAGCAATGGCGACTCGTGCTCCTGATCCAGAAAGAAATCCGTCTCGATCAGGGCCTGGCTGTGGTGCGACACGCGATCCACCAGGCCGCCGGCCACCAGATAGCTGAAGCACAAAGTGTTCGGCGCGCGTTATTTTCCTGAGATCGACGGGACTGCGAAAATAACGCGCTTTGATACCTTCCGATATCTATTGAGAGAATTATTTCGGATATATTTATAACATAAAAATGTAATTAAATCCAAAGTACGCCTGGAAATGCAGAATTTATCAATTACATTTCCACGCTCGCTTTTCCTTGCGTCGATCTTAAACAAAAAGAAAAGAATGACGAAAGGATTCACCATATAGGAGAATAAAGTTAAAAAGTTAGCGCCGTAACAACGTAACAACGTCGGCGCGTCTACTCGCGGATTCCAAAGAAAAGATTTTCTCATCTGAGCGCATCGTTGACTTCCGTGTTCCGTCCACGAGGGAAGAATCTCGCTTCCTGGGCACAAAACGGCGGTGCACTCGACAATCGCCCGTCGATCATACCGGGCGATCGCAGGGCAGCGAAGTGTGCATATGGGTGCAGGAGGAGGGAGATGGAACCGGATAAAAAAAACAATGTATTGCTTACAGGACAGCATGTGCGACGGCGTAACACGAGAGGATTATAACATCAGTGCGTAATTCCGAGCGCGCGCGCGCTCGAGAGAGAGAGAGAGAAAGGAAAGGGGGTTAGAACGCGCGAAAAACGGAGATGAAGAGGGTCGAACGAGGGACAAGGGGTGTAGGGGGGTCGTAAGCGTCGGCGCACGCGATGCTCATTCTGTCGGGTTGTTGTATGTATATGTTTTCCTTTCTCGTAGGCAGCATCCCCTTTCGCGGCCGCGCAAGCCCGAGGGGGTGCGTGCCTGTCAGCGCGTATTATCGCCGCCCCCTTCGACCCTCGCCGGCAGGAACGCACACAAACGTACACACGTACACGCACATATATGGCTCCGTGCCGCGATGAGAGGGTGTTGGAATATATAATACACGACGCGCAAGTGCACTGCCGCTGCCCTTCGCACCGCGTCCGTGGAAGACCAACTGTCGCGTCTAATCGTAACTAGTTGTAAGTTAATCCCGCCGCACTAGTTTCATGGTGCGCCTTCTCAGCTTCGGGCCGTCGGCGATCGGCACCGTTATTTTGGAGAATTATATTTGCTCTTTGAAAATTTTACCTCCACGATACACGGCGAGAGTGACAGGGTTAGCCGCGCCCGATCGCGCCCTCGTTTCGAGGGCGAGTTCGATTAAATAGAAAAAATACGAAGTCGTAGGGAACGAACTCCGGGGAGAAGATGCGATATCGTCGACACTCGTCGTCGCAATGTCGTTTAATCGACTTATGTAATCGTGTAATTTTCCACGATGCTATAGTTGGTAACTGTGGCATCTGAAGAAAGAGATTTCTGTGAGTTTAATGAAATGTCTTTAATTGAAACGAATTTGTCTTTTTGGAATGGAACAAACGAATGTTTGATTCAATAAACAATAAATCTCTCTCTCCCTCTCTCTCATTCACTCACTCACTCTTTCTCTTTAAGTCAAATAATATATTTCTTTTATATATTTTTATCCAAGCATATTACAATGGTTACCACAAACAATAAATTATTTGAAGGAAATAATACTATATTAGAGAAAAATATTAAAGCTTACTTATTTCAGCGAAATAATATTTAATATATAATGAAATGATTGTCTCTTTTTCATTGAAAATCAAATATTATATATTTCCTCTAAATAATACAGTTTTTTTATTTTTTTCTATCAAACAGCATGGTTTACTTTAATGAAACAACGTTTTCATTCAAACAAAATGATATCGCATATCATGTTGTTGATATTAAACAAACCCGAGTCAAGAATATACGTATATTAAATCCAAACAAACCTTTTTCTCTGTGTAGTTAACGATAACTACGACAATTTCTACCATCTTCGATCGAACATACGAGTGTATCTCGATAAGACCAAGGATGGCATACTTCGCGTCGTTTCTGAGGACGTCGATGCGACTTTCACCTTGCGAAGGTATCGGTTTCCGGTTTCTTTCCTGGCGCGCGGGTGGCGACTCTTCGTTATACGGGATGGGGTGACACACAGGAGGTCTCCGGGTCTGTCAAAGCGAGAAATACGATGTGCGAACACGAACCGCCGGTATCGACGACGAGCTCGTGCTCGACGCTCGAATAAATCGCTAATAAAATGCGACGGAATGATCGCGTCGCGCGGATTAGAATCGCTTAACACACGTAACTACGGCGGATCCGTGCCGGCGGATTACACGACAGACCCTCCCCTTAACCTACAACACGGCGACAGTTGGGACGACGGAGGGACACCGTGTATCTTTGGATGCAATAATTTCGGATGAGCGAGTAGTCTCTCATTCCTATCTCTTTCTCACTCTCTTGCACCCTCTCCTCCGCTTCGTTCCATGTGGGATTACGCCCGTGAAAGTCACTGCGTCCCAGATCGCTTAATCCTTTAACCCGAACGCTCGGGTAACGGATAAATCTTTCCGATCCAAGCGTTCGCTGACGTCTCATTGGCGAAACACCGAATCATACTTTCGCACTCGCGTAATCGAGGTGTGTCGCCAAATCCCGACGATTTCCACTCACGACTCTCTGTACTTCGATGCGACTCTATTCAGAAATAATATCCGCAAAGGCCCGAAACTCCCTGCACGAGGTAAAAAAGAACACGCGTGATCAGTTGCGCACCGCCAAGTTCGAAGCGTCGAGTTTAGCTAGCGAAAATAACACCGTGCGCGACGGAATCGCTGCTCGAAAATAAATTAATATTTAATACGTTACCATCCATCTTCTGAGATAATAATAGATGATAAGGAAATAAAAATATGTTTTCTGATAAGAATTTTAATCGGTTCTATAAGGCTAAGAAAGAATAAAGATAAATATACGAAATAACGATATGTAAATCAATTGTACGTTAACTGCGATTTTTTTAATTGTGATACAAGATAGTAGCTTATGGAAAACAGGTTAGATTAGAAGATATATTTAGAAGTTTCGGGACAGCAGATAATGAGATAAGGTAGAAAAGGATGAAAAAAAAATGACGAACAAATACGCAAATCGGAAGGCAGTCAAAACTGCACGGATGAAGAATACAGAACAAAAATAATGTAAAATAAAATATGGATAGAAAAAATAAATATAATAACAATATTTTAGAATCTCTAAAACAACTTTAATTAGCGGAACGATTAAACCGAGAGCACCCCGCGCCGCGTTCACCAGTGTGTAGCCTCCGATCAGCTCTGCGAGGGTAGCGAAGCGATTCGCGCCAACCGGGAAGATCCTGCGTCTCGATCTTCATGCACGTCCGCTTTACGGAGGGGATGCGTTGTTGGAGGGTGCTGCGGCCCGAGATTGCGATCTATCATTGAATGTTTGCGGGGGGTTACGGGCAAATATATCGAATTTATTTATTATCCCCTCGCCCCGCCCCCGCATACATCCGACGGCGTTGAGGGAGGCGAGGAACGAGCGACCGCTCGCCCCGGAGGCCGCCATTAGCTAACCATATGATTATTTCATAGCGAGCTCGCGAGGGTGCATATCTTTACGCTTCTGGCCGTACCCACCCCCTTTCTGCCCGTTCCTTCCTTCCTCCATCTAGCAGTGGCTTATGCGATTTGCGCGCTGCATCGCGCGAGTGCACTTACGCTGCGGGAAGAGGCTTCGAGGAGGGTAATCGGATGGATGGCCCGTAATTTGTGTGTCGTGCCCGGATTACGAGAGCGCGGAAATAACGCGTGAGTCTGTCCCGTCTAAAGAACTCTCCGTATGATAAAAGTACCAATACCCGGACGTTTTACCTAACTCCGGACGCTCTTACTATTCTGGTCTTTAACTTTCGCAAGAGAAAGTCGAGGTCATTCGTGGCCCCAAGATGACAGACGTTTATTTATGTTATTCGTGTATTATTCTAATATTTTTGACCAATGGATTCTTGCTTATTGTTTCATGTGATTTTTATGCCCTTTGCTTGGTTCTAATTAAACATAACGCACAGCGATACATTGAGCCATGAGAAGTACAGACGTGTACGTGTGTGTTAGTGCCACACACATTTAATGTTATCATGATTAATATTATTCTGCGGGAGGATGTATTGCGAACGTACCGAACTTTTTTGGTAAACGAACCACCTTCCACACACGGATCGATCCTGAGAAAAATATTTTCTAGAATCTCAGTAATATTTAATTCATAAATTATTTAAAAATTCCGCAGTAAAACCTCTTACAATTGCTTACAATTGCTAACAAGATTAATGAGCAATTTTAATGGTTCTATTTATTATCATTTTTAAATTTAGAATGCATACTCATGGATTCATTCATTGCTTCACCTTCCGTTCGTGTCCTGCTGTTCCACCTTTCTTTGCCTTCTAAAGTTGGGGGAATAGTTAAATACGCATGTTTAGCCATTCAAGAGTATATATTGAATATATATATATATATATATATATATATATATATTGAATATACGTATAAATGTAATATAGTATATAAATAACATATTTTTCTGCATAACATTTTTATAACATATATTAGAGGTGTATATGTTTTCACAATTTTCATAAAAATTAAGTTTGTTTAAAGACCAAGACAATAAGATATAATAATATTCAAGTACGCGTCCAGACACTAGTACTTTTATCTTAATGGTAAAAAAAATCTATCTCGTCTCATCTCTTTCTCTCTCATTCTTTTTCTCTCTCTTTCGACTGTAACGTGACAAATAATTGTCGCGATGCGCGCGCAAGAGAAATATTCTCCGGCCGTATTTTCGAAGGTACAACCAACCGTGTCCGCGGAATTATCAAAAGTGTTTTCAAAAGTGTAGAAAATATTTGCGCGCGCCTCTAGTGTGTACGCGTGTGCACTACGTGCGCATTCAAAGTCGTATTAGTACGCGCGATCGCGCGGGCGATAAAAGTACATAACTTCGACAAACGAGGCGAAATAAAAATAAACGCACAACAATTTTCCCGTTGATTTAAACGAATAACGCGGACGCGCCTAGCTGCAAATT